TGAATCCAGATACCTGTCTGAAGATGCTTTGCAATGGAATTAGGTTATTCATCAGCTGACTTTAAGATAGGAAGATCACCCCAGATTATCAAAGTAGACTCTACTTAAAACATGAGCTCTTAAAAACAGAAGAGGTAAGAAGGATCAGAGGATGGCTGTGGGGGGAAAGCTGGAGCAATCTGACACAAGATTTGCCCTACTATTCCTTGCATTAAAGCAGGCAATGGATCAGAGCATGTGAGTGCCTTCTAGAAGCTGAGAACAACAGCCAAGAGCCAGCAAAGAAACAGGGCCCTCATGCGTATGAGCCAAAGGAAGTGAATTTCACTAGTAACTTCAATGAGTGTGGAGCCAGAAAGGAACAGCCTTCTGACACTTGGATTTTGGCTTGGTGGTGAGTTAGGAGCTAGTCCCCATTTATAGGCAGGTAGGGCAGAGGCTCCTTTTTAATGAAGCCAACTATGTATTTCTCTATAGCCTGGTTAATGTTTAATACACACCATTTTACGTATCTCTGGCAGGAGATAGGCCACACACATATAGTAAGCGTACTTACTGTGAGATGGAGCCAGTTTCTAAGATAGAATCACTCTGGTCAGGCTTATAATAAAAATCATTCAGGGCTCTCAGTATAAGTCAATTACGAGCTCTCTGCTTACTCACACAGAGAACTGCTCACAATGGGCTTGAGACAATGACAGCTGAAGCAAGCATTTTCCATATCAATGCTACATTCCAAACAAAGAGTGCAGTCTCTCTTGGTCTGAAGAGGAAGAGAGCAAAGGAGCTCGAACAATAACTTGCCTTGAGCCATCATTTGAGAAATGGGAACATGACAGGCAGGCTTGGACCTGCAAGATAAGGAGGTCTGAATAAGATTACATTTTAGAAGCACAAAAGAACAAATACATCAAAGAACAAAACTTTGTCTTAGACTTGTTGAAACATGATAAAAACTAGAAACTTTATAGGCCATAGACCTCAAAGATCTGCTGAATGTGCATTAAGGTCTTAATGTTTAGTCATGTGATTTGTAAGCCTACTCCCAAAGAGAATGAAGTAAACCACCTAACATCACAAGGTCCTCCCTGATAGATAACACCCCTCACTCCAGTTCCTCTTCAGCAACCTATTTGGTACTCCTCCCAAAGCATTAGGGTTTTGTTTTGTTTTTTTCCTCTCTAGTAAACTTCGCTTATTATCCTATTTGTCCATGAGCTTTGGACAAGAACCAGCACTCTCCCCACTTTAGTGGCATCCGGAGCCGAGAAACTAGCCAAAGCTGCTGGATTCCTAATTTACAGAACTGGTAGATAATGAATTTATGTTGTTTTAAACTGCAGAAATGGAAACTGCAGGGCCCACCCCATAGCCTCACGGTTCAGGAACCAGATCCCACATGGCCAACCATGGTTCAAGTGCTGGACCCAATGGCATGAAAAACATGCCAGGTGCATGTATGGATGTCCAAAATCTTGCCAAGATGAAGAAATGGGGAAGGGATTGTGAAATGGCTGCACCCTATTGGAGGGGTGCTTTATTCTCCCCCCTCCCCTCTGTGTTCCTTTCTGGAGTGCACCTGCCCTCTGGTAATTAAAAGAACAAAACACTAATACGCGGCTTCAGTGTTAAAAGGGGGCATTTTGGGGACCAGCAGATGGCGTGATGGTTACATTGCCGGACTCCCATGTATATCAGTGCGGTTCCAGTCCCAGACCTGGCGGGTTAAATTCACATTGGGCCCATGTGCATGCATGCTCCAACTCCCAAGAGAATGCAGCAGAGGGGATTGTAGTGAGGCCATCCTCCAAGGGGATGATTCTCACCTTATATTTCTCTGTCTCTCCAGCAACTGCACACATCCTACCAGTAAAATGGCTACAAAAAAACAGGAAGGGGGACTTTTGAAACTCAGTGCTGGAAGCTCATGAGAAACTTGATCTGAAATTCTTCTAACTTTATACAAGCCGAGCATATCTGTTTGGGTATTTTTAAATCTTAGAAGTTTCATCAGACATGGTGTTTCTCTGTCTTTCTCTAAAATTTCAAGGTTTTGGTGGACACTGCCAATTTTTCCTTTTTCATGCAATTTTCAATGAACCATCTAAAGACTTTCATACCATTAGGTCCTCAATTCTTGCCAATCTTTCTTTTTCATTTTCTTTATTTTGTAAAACTCTAACTTTCAGTATTCTCTTGAAGTCTGATAGGAGAAAGCTGGAATGAATAATCCCAAATAACTTTTCCCAATAGGACACGTGAGCTCCCCAGAGAGAAAGACACAGAGAGAGGGAAAATGAGAAATCAGCCCCCAGAGTGGATGGTCACGCTGCAACCCCTTCCCCATTCTCTCAGGATTTTGGACACATAGGTGATCCCTTCTCCTCTCAGGATTTTGGGCATGTGTGTGCACAAGCATGATTTTCAAGTATCAGGGTCTAGGGCTTGAAATGTCTTCAACCATGTGGGAGTCCAACGCCTAAACCTCCATACCACCTGCTGGCCCCCCAAACTGCTCTTTTACATCTTCTTTAGCTTCCAGGAGCAAAATCACATCTGATTTCAATGGCAGGAAGTTGTCCTCAATTATAGTAGCAATTTTACCCTGAGAGAGAGGCATCCACATTGACAGTACACCTCATTATAGGTTAAAATTTCACCGGGAATATTTTATCAGTATTTAGATTAAATAAAATTTACAGTTGAAGTAGATTCACCTACCCTGGTTGTTCCATGCATATTTTTAAAAGTTTCGATAGTTGAATAGTGCCAGTTTTTAAATGTATTAGCTATTCAGTTCTCTGTGATACTAGTCACATTCAAGTGATCAACAGCCATGGCTGGCAACCCTACAGGAAACCACAGATCCAAGTTAAGAGTGGTTTTTGTCATTCTCTACAAATTTAAGGTGGACTGCAAATTCTAAAAGTAGTTATTTTCCTTTTTTTCCTTTTCTTTTTTGGAGAGGTTTTTGCTATAGGGCGCGTGCGCTCGCCAGAAAGACAGAGAGAGACAGACAGATAGAAAGCCAGAAATCACCTCCCAGAGGGGATGGCCACGCCACAATCCCTTCTCCTCCATTCTCCTCTCGGGATCTTGGGCATGCACGCACATGCTCCTGGCGTGAGTTTAAGCCACCGGGTCTGGGACTCGAACCGTGGTCGACTACATGGGAGTCCAGCGACATAGCCATTATGCTAACTGCTGGTCCCAGAAGTTATTTTCCTTTACCTGCCATGGAAGACAGAATTCTGAAACTGGTGAAAATGAAGAAAAAAAATTAAGTTGGATCACTCAGAGATCTCACCAAGAAAGTAGAAAAACCTCTGCTAGAATGTCAAGCATAGGACACAAAATAGAATTTTGAACCATTGAAAGAACATTCCCATCACCTTAACGGTTTCCTTATTTTTTAGCCTATTCCTTTTTTTTACTAAAATTAAAAAAAAAAAAAATTGATTCTGCAAAGGGCCTGCACTGGATTCTATGTGGTGTACACGAACGGGTTCAGACCTAGGGCTTTTCAATCGGATTGTGTTTTAATCTTCTAGTCACTTCAAACAGCAATGTTTTATGAAATTTCTGCCCTTGGAATTTTGAACCTAAGGTGAACCTGCTGACATCAGAGAGAGACAGACAGATAGAAAGCCAGAAATCACCTCCCAGAGGGGATGGCCACGCCACAATCCCTTCTCCTCCATTCTCCTCTCGGGATCTTGGGCATGCACGCACATGCTCCTGGCGTGAGTTTAAGCCACCGGGTCTGGGACTCGAACCGTGGTCGACTACATGGGAGTCCAGCGACATAGCCATTATGCTAACTGCTGGTCCCAGAAGTTATTTTCCTTTACCTGCCATGGAAGACAGAATTCTGAAACTGGTGAAAATGAAGAAAAAAAATTAAGTTGGATCACTCAGAGATCTCACCAAGAAAGTAGAAAAACCTCTGCTAGAATGTCAAGCATAGGACACAAAATAGAATTTTGAACCATTGAAAGAACATTCCCATCACCTTAACGGTTTCCTTATTTTTTAGCCTATTCCTTTTTTTTACTAAAATTAAAAAAAAAAAAAATTGATTCTGCAAAGGGCCTGCACTGGATTCTATGTGGTGTACACGAACGGGTTCAGACCTAGGGCTTTTCAATCGGATTGTGTTTTAATCTTCTAGTCACTTCAAACAGCAATGTTTTATGAAATTTCTGCCCTTGGAATTTTGAACCTAAGGTGAACCTGCTGACATCATAATCCTTTATTGTTTTCATAACATATCTTTTCAAGAATTGGTTTAACCTAAATCCTCTGGTACCTTACGTCCTATGCATATTTCAGCGAAGGCAGATGAGTGGCTATTGCTGACACCGTCGTGTAAAAGTACTGCATACCGTTTTTATAAATGTCAGGCAGAAAAAAAACGGTAACAGTATAATTATTTTGTACTAAGTACTTTTCGTGTTCCCCAAATGAAAACACAGAGGAAAGAATCATCAAAAATAATCCATCTCGGCTTCCAAAATAACTTTAAAGAACTGCTTCAGCTGACAAAAATGCTGCTTCTGTCATAATAGAGACGTCGGGATATTCTGAACAGGATCAAGGAAAACTTCCAATACATTTTGGAAACGTGCAGAATCTCAGCGCTCAGCAACCCGCAGCTTTCCAACCCCACACCCCGCACCCACCTGCGGTTTTCACGAACTTGGAACATCAAACCAGGTGAGCGCCCAGAAAACGGGAAGCAAGAAACGATATGGCAATATTCAACCTCCGATTGAGTGCTCGGGGCCTACCTCACATCCAATACTAGGTTTAACAAATATTTACCGTTCCCAAAACACCCCCCAAAAGCCACCGTCCCGCACCCACCGAAAACCCCACGCGAGTTCCCACGCTTCCCACAGAGACAGAAGGGGCAGAGAAAGCGTAAAGACGCGACCGCGCATGCGCTGCAGTCGTGCGCATGCGTCTCAGACACGCGCATGCTCAGACGAGAGGCCGGAGGGATCCTGGGAGGGGTCCGCAGGCCACCTGCCCCGCCCCCGCCCTCAGCGCGGAGTTTCCCTTCCGCGCCGTCTGCTCTGCTTCCCTTTCTAGGCGGGCGGGCGGGCAGACTGTGGCCCTGGTGTATATCTCTATACCCCGGAAGAAGTGGGCTCCGGCAGCTCTCCATGGCGAGCTCGGCAGGGCCCGGGAGCCGGGCCGCCCTGCGCCTCTGCGCCACAGGTAACCGGCGCGCGGCCCCGGCGCGGGGTGCAGGGTGGGCCTGCGCTGTCGGCCGAGGTGCTCACGTTTCCTGGCTGCTTCTTGCCGGACCTTGCGCGCCTTCCCGAATGACCTTCCCCACTGGAGCGCAGGAGACTCGGTGCCACACGTAGAGAGAGAGGATTCGCCCTCAGGCCGACGTTGTCTTCGTTGTGGCAGGAAGTTTCAGTAGCGCTGACTCCATCGATAGGCGAGGATGTCAACGTCCCCACTTTCTGTTTAGGTTCTGAATCTTGTCACGTTTGAAGAGTTGTCACCACCAGGCCTAAGAGAAGGATGGTCAAGGACAGAGCATGGTCAGGAGCCCGTTGTGCCGTGGGACACGGGTCTGAGTAGGTTGTGAGCCTTTCAGCCTCGATCTGCCAGAGTGGGGGACCCTGGCTGCCTTTGCTCATTGAGCCTTTAGAGCTGAGGACCAGGCGGGTTTGGTGTTGGAGATGAGCCCCACTTTGTTCCTGTTTACCTATCTGGGGGTTGGGGGAGGATGGGGAAGAGAACTAAAAAGAGTATTTTAAATGGCGTTTGCGAGTCCAATGGAGATGCATGCTATATGAGTAAAAAGAATGTGGAGAATATAGAGATTTCTGCTACAGCTCCATTTAGAATGGCAAAAGGGAAAATAAAATGAGAGTGAACATAGGTAGGAAAAAGGAACACTGCTTCGGTTTTATTAGTCCCCGGGGATCTTGCCAGTCACAATATGGGAGCATGCAGAATAGATGTTTGTTAAATGAATGAACTACTAATGCTTTTGCATCATTTGTATCCTGGGATGGATCAATGCTGAATTTGTTGTAGGTTGTAAAAAATCAAAAACACCACGGGTGACTAAGCAAAAGTATGGGAGCCGGATGATAAAGCAGCATTTTTTTTTTTTCTTTTTTTCTTCTTTGGAGAGGTTTTTGTTATAGGGCACACGCACTCGCCAGAAAGACAGAGAGAGAGACAGAGAGACAGAAAGCAAGAAATCACCCCACCCCCCCCAGATGGCCACACCACAATCCCTTCTCCTGTCTCCTCTTGGGATCTTGGGCACGCACGCACACACTCCCGGTGTGAGTTTAAGTCACCGGGTCCAGGACTCGAACCATGGTCGACTACATGGGAGTCCAGTGACAAAGCCATTATCATAAGTGCTGGTCCCTATAAAGCAGCATTTTTTGATCCACTTTTTGTCTTTTTTCTTTTCTTCCAGTTGTTTTACTTGATGTGGCTTTCACTAAAGGATTTGTCGAAGATTTAGATGAATCGTGAGTATATATTTAAATAGTATTTTAAATTCTTCTCATTTGGTACCTGAGTATTTGCCTGTGAATCTAAGATTTTAGTTATTAAGAGACTATAGTAATCAATCCTTACAGTACTAATTTCTGTAAACTAATATAGTATATATAGCACTCATTTTGTTTCTGGAGTTGATCTAAGTGGTATGTAAATAAATAAATAAAATGTGGAGATGCCCAAGAGTTTACTGATGGTAACAAGAGCAAAAATCTATGGCGAATTCTTACGTATTTTCTCATCATTTGTATCCTGGGATGGATCAATGCTGAATTTGTTGTAGGTTGTAAAAAATCAAAAACACCACGGGTGACTAAGCAAAAGTATGGGAGCCGGATGATAAAGCAGCATTTTTTTTTTTCTTTTTTTCTTCTTTGGAGAGGTTTTTGTTATAGGGCACACGCACTCGCCAGAAAGACAGAGAGAGAGACAGAGAGACAGAAAGCAAGAAATCACCCCACCCCCCCCAGATGGCCACACCACAATCCCTTCTCCTGTCTCCTCTTGGGATCTTGGGCACGCACGCACACACTCCCGGTGTGAGTTTAAGTCACCGGGTCCAGGACTCGAACCATGGTCGACTACATGGGAGTCCAGTGACAAAGCCATTATCATAAGTGCTGGTCCCTATAAAGCAGCATTTTTTGATCCACTTTTTGTCTTTTTTCTTTTCTTCCAGTTGTTTTACTTGATGTGGCTTTCACTAAAGGATTTGTCGAAGATTTAGATGAATCGTGAGTATATATTTAAATAGTATTTTAAATTCTTCTCATTTGGTACCTGAGTATTTGCCTGTGAATCTAAGATTTTAGTTATTAAGAGACTATAGTAATCAATCCTTACAGTACTAATTTCTGTAAACTAATATAGTATATATAGCACTCATTTTGTTTCTGGAGTTGATCTAAGTGGTATGTAAATAAATAAATAAAATGTGGAGATGCCCAAGAGTTTACTGATGGTAACAAGAGCAAAAATCTATGGCGAATTCTTACGTATTTTCTTTTTTGTCATTTCACCTTGTATTCTTTTGTGTCTTTAATCACACTGAGTAGGCACTGGAATTGGTTAACTGTGCATATCTGCTTTCACAGTATCGTAGCATTAATGCTGAAACTTTGCTTATGCTAGGTGAGGAAGCCAGCTCAAGACCAAACTCCCATGTGTGATCATTCAGGCTGGGCCATCAGCAATTAGAAGGCTTTTCCTGGCAGGCCACATGGGGAATATGCTCTCTCCACAGGAAACTTGGCACACAGCCAGTGCATTGCAGTCTCTGGAGGGAATTGTAGTCAAGGACTCAGGCCAGCCATGCTCGTGTGCGTATCTGCACATCTAGAATAGTTACTGCTATCTGGAGGTCTTGGGACCCCACCTTAGGCTTTTCTTAGGTATCTCTGCCAAAAGGGCCTTATCAAGGGATTCAGCTGAGGTACTTGTCCACTCCTAGTCCTTTTCCTACTGGCTTCTCCCCATAGAGAGGCAGTGTTCCTGAGCAGGGAGACGAGTTTTTTCCTGTGCTTATCTACCTGACCCTCACTTGGTGCTGTTTCATGGGGGAAAATGGAACACTGAGGAGGAGCTAGTGCCTCTGATTTGCCTCCTGGCCAGTGCTGACACAATGAGTGAATAAAGACTGGATTGCCACTTTCACTTTGGCTTGCTATCCTAGTTGAACACCTGCACACCTGATTGCTGGAAAGAAACGATGCCATGAACTGGGTGATCAGTGAATACATTGCTGTTCTGGAAGAGCAGAAGGCCTCAGTGTCCCATGAGGGTACTTCATCCATCATAATAAAGAGTTTTTAACAGTGCCAGCAAATGGATTGTTTACAGAAAGTTTTTGACTCTGAGAAGAACCATTGTTAATGAGGAAGTCTTCTTGTTACACTTAATCTTGCCTTGTTGGGTGTGTCACTATAGACCTCCTCCTTCAGAGTTCCCTAACAGTGGAGACTGTGTCTGAGGAGGAGGATGGGGTTCTGCTAACAACATTCGGTTGTTATTCCTGTGAGTGCTCATGTGATAGGGCCTTGTGCTGACCGAGGGAACTGATGCTAAGAGTGTACCGTGATGCCAACTAAACATGGAAATGAATCATTTCTTGCTCCAGAGCAAGTAGATGTGCAACCAGTTGTCTCCTGGAACCACAGGAAAATGGCCCATGGAAATTCAGACATAAACATGGGCCCCAACTGGCAAGAACACTCAAACTGCTACACTTGGGATAAGGTACCAAAACAACATGAAAAGGTTGTCCTCCTTGTCAGACCTGAGCATAGTTAAAAATACTGTGCAGGGACAGATCCCTCATGCCACTGGAGCCGTGTGTTTTCAGCAGATAGAATGTGTTCGTTCTTTCATTCCATATGTAGTGTTCCTCTGGCTCTTGAAAGCAGTTGACATTCAGTTGGGTTTGGCTTAGTCAACCCCATATGTTCCATTGGCTTGGGACACACTGTATAGATCTTATAGAGAATCCCATTTATTTCTTGTTCAGGTACCCTGAGAACACTGCATCTGATGATGGCTCTGGATTTGTGGCCCAGGCTACATATCAGTGGACTGAATCACAGGGCATGTAAAGGCCTCTCCATGTTCTACATTGCTCCTAATCCACAGGAGTAGTTGGATATAGGCCTAATCAGCTGATGGTAGAGTATAAGATTACCTAGTCTAGACTATGCATCTCAGATGAGACATCTGGGATCTCAAATACAGCAATTCCCTAGTTAAGTACTTTTCACATTTCTATAAACACTGGGACCACCCTTACCAGGAAATGTCAAGAACTCACTAGAAATCCTAGATCTCAGATGTCAACCAAGAACCAGTCTTGCAAGCAAGTCTTTCTGAGCATTGCAGCCTCAGGTATAAAATGGGATAGAAGGGCAAGAGGTTTAGCATATGTTTGTGTGTTTCTACAAAGTCCTACTTTAATTTCTTTTCTTTGATTCTTTACTCCTAATTAGTTTTTCTTTAATCAGCTTTCTAGTTTTGTTTTGTTGTTTTTTTTTTTTTTTTTTTTTTTAGAGGGGTTTTTTTTTTGGGGGGGGGGGGCTCCCCAA